CCAGGCTCCCGGGCGCAGGTCCCTGTGGGTGGGGGCGTCGCTTCCAGAAGACTGGCCTTAGAAGCGATATGGGGGCTTGGCGGTGACAGCTCGGGCCTTTTCCAGCCCTGTGGCCTGAACGCAGCCTGAAGCCCTGTGCCCGGTGGGTGGTGCAGGTGGGGGCGGGGGGTCAGTCACCTGCCCGGTGGGTGGTGCAGATGCGGGCTGGGGGGGTTGGTCACCCGCACAGCTTCTCCCCCCCCCCCNNNNCCCCCCCAGGTGCGCGCAGGCGGGCGAGCCCCGGGTGTGGGAGGGAGTCTGTCCCCTGCCGGCCGAGCAGCAGGCGGGTGAGACGGGAGGAAGGGCCGTCTCGGGAGGCTTTTTGCACCGTGTGGAAGCCTTTTCCTCAGCAGCCTACATATAAATTCAACTGACCGTGTCCGCGGGGCCGGTGCCGCCAGGATCTGCACCCGCGGGGCCCGGCCGCCGCCTCCGCCTCGTTTTCCAGGCCGCCGCCGGGCCGCGCGGAGTCGGGGAACAGGACAGTTACTCTGCATCCTTTGAAGATGTGTGATCTTACCGAGGAACATAAATTATGTTTTGTATTAAGTGACTTTTACGAGACCCGTCAAGGTTTTACGGCTCCTGTGCCAGGTTTTTAGGTGTTTCTCGCCTGGTGGAGCCCGAGCTAGGAGCGAGGGGTGTAAATAGGACCCGCCTCTAAATTATGGATTTGAAGACGAGAAGTGTTTTGTACTTGGATTGTTTTTATTCCAAATACGCTGTCCTTTTATATTGAATTCTGCCCACATTTTAAGTAAATGTACTTTTGATCTTTACTTAGAACTGAGTGCTCCATCTTTTTGCATAATGTACATGATTGCCACCAAGCAGGATCAGTTTTAAGTAATTTCAAGGCAAAATATTTTCTAGGAACTTTCCTCCTGGGGAATAATTTCTGGGAGGGACATTCAAAGTAATAGGCAGTCACTGCCCCCAGCCCCCGCGGCAGAACCGCACCCTCTGGACCGGCCGCCTCCTATGGCCCAGAGCCTCTGGCGCAGAGCTGGCCCAGGACCCGCACTGCGCTCCTCCGGTGCCGCCGGTGGGCCACCGATGCGAGTAGATTCAAGACCAGATGGGGTCAGAGTGGCTCTCGCCTCCCCGTGGTCACGGGTGTGTCCCTGAAACTCTGGATTGTCTTCCTAACATAATTTCCAAAATATCCACTTTGAAACACTGGTGACCTTTGTGATCTGCGCAGGAGCTGATTCTCATTGCACAGCCCCCGCAACGTGACTCGGACACGTTCCCCGGGGCACACGCATGAGAAATTGTTAACAGGACGAGCCCCACGCCTGGGAACCATCAGTGTGCTTGTGGGGCTGTGGTGTTGGGCAGAGTCCGCACCTCGTTCCTTCAGGTGTCTCCCCCAACGGGGGACGATGCAGGACCACATGGAGTCACCTCCACAAATGGCAAGGAACCTGCCACACATTCTGTTTGAAAGGGGGGGACGGTTCCCTCCCTGTTCTCCATCCCCTGCCTGGCCCGGGAGCTGTGGGGATTTCCTGGGAGAAGTTACCTGTTGGGCTCTTGCCACCACCTGCTGGTCTTACCTGCATTTTAACAAACAGCCTCAAAATACGTCTCCTTTTAAGCTCCTCCTTTTGTTAATCCTTGCTGACTTTCTCCATTGGTGTTTTTGTTTTTTTTTAGAGTGGAAGGGAGGAGGAAGCACACACACACACACATCCCTACCTGATCCAGGGGTCGAACCTGCAACTCAGGCATATGTGGGGTCTGCCCTTGACCGGGAATCAAACCGATGACCCTTCGGTGCTCTGGCTGACGCTCTAACCACGAGGCAACAGGGTCCTGGGCTGTTTGAGCCTTTGAAAGTCTCCCCTGTTGTGTATAAAAAGGAACAGTTATTTTCTGAGTCTGGCTACAATAGTATCAGATTGAGCAGTTCACAGCTAAATTGCTCATTTTAACAGCTCTTGGAAATTAGCAACAGTTGCTTTGGGAATCCCTGAAGCTCAGGAAACCAAGCCGCCTCTGGAATAATCCTGGCAGCCAGGTAGCTCCTGACTCGATGCTGCCACCTGCTGGCTGGTCGGCTTCACAGATCCACCTGTTGCCCAGGCCCAGCCGGGACTCAGCGCAGCTTGTCAGCCTAAGAAACATCCACACCTGCAGAGAATTGTTAATAAGAGTTTGGGTTTATCTNATCCACCTGTTGCCCAGGCCCAGCCGGGACTCAGCGCCTGATTGTCTTCTTGCGGTAGCTTGTCAGCCTAAGAAACATCCACACCTGCAGAGAATTGTTAATAAGAGTTTGGGTTTATCTTTATTTTGAAGATAAAGCGGGGGTCATAGTAAACAAAGGTGAGATGAAAAGTTCTGCCATCACGGGACCAGTTGCAAAGGAGTGTGCAGATTTGTGGCCCAGGGTTGCATCCAGTGCTGGCAGCATTGCATGATTCTCCAGTGTGTTTGTAAAGGAGAAAAAAAAACTTAAAAATTATACCCCCTCCCTCCCCGACCTGCAAAAAAAGTTTATTTGAGCCAAACTGACAACACATAAAGCATGCCCGGGAGCAAAGGGAGCAAGAACGCATGTGCTCCTGAGAATAAAAGTTACATCATTTCTTGTATGCATCTGAGATGAAAGAGGAAACATAGGAAGATTACTGGAAGGTGGGAGGAAGCAGAGAGGGGAGGGATTACAGGACAGTTAAGTTTACAGCTCCCCTGGGGGTGCGCGTGCCTCCCAGGGTATTACTTCTGGCATTTCTAGATGCACAGAAACAATGGACAGGCCTTGCTTGAGGCAAAGACAGACCTTTTACGAAGTTGCAGGCCTGGGGCGCTCCTGCCCCGTAGGAGTTTAATGACCAGATCACCCTGTGAAATTACCTTCCCTTTTTCATCCATAAGCTTCAGCCCCAGGTGGCGGAGGCTGCTGGCATGAGACGGAGAGCTGGGCGGGCGCCGCCTGCAGGTGACACCCAGTGTCCCAGCGGTGCATTCACGCCCGGCCTGACCTGGATGCAGCTGTGAGCCTCCGGGACCGCTGCCCTCAGCCCTGTGGCCCCCTCTGTCTGCCCTTCACTAGAGCCCTGTCCTTTGAAGCTGCACCAGTGTCACCTCCGTGCACCGGGAGCCAGGGGTGTCCTAACTTCCCTCCCCAGGCTCCCTTACGCTGCCTCCGGCCCTGTGGGCCTCCCGGCACCTGCCCTGGTTGGGGAACCGGCTGCACAGGCCCAGAGCTTGTCCTCTGCTGCCCTCTGCTGGTGGCGTAAAGAGCAGCCAGGAACTCTGGGGCCAAAACTGGGCCAGGACCCTCCAGCCCACCTCCCGCCCGGGCGGCTGAGACCCTGCTCTGGCCCCGCTCGGGGCCCCACCTTGCTGTGCGGGGCCAGGCTCTCCGCCGCGGCCCTGACCCGCGCCAGGTCAAGTACAAGCTGAACTGAGTGAACTTCAGAAACAGCAGGTGGGCCGGACAGCACCGCCTAACTTGTCAGCTGGTTCCAATCACTCCCGGGCACTTTCATTCCCTACGGTGCAACCAGAAGGCACAGCAAAATCCCACAGCGGGAGGGACGCTGGGCTACAGGAAATGTCTCCGCCCTCAAAGGGCCCGGCAGGTGGCAGACTCGGGCGAAACAGGGACCTCGCAGCGGCCTGGTCATAAACCCTTCCCTGGGCAGGTCGTGGGAGGCAGTCCCACCCCAGGCATGTAAGGTCCCTCCCAACAGGGTTATCTTTGCTTGACCTAGCCCCGCACCGAGGTTAACACACCTTTGAAATAAACCGTAAGACTCCGGGGAGAGCACAGCGTCATCCCATTAACTGTCCTGTGGTCCAACCCCGCCCTGCCTCCTCCCACCTCCGTGTGACTTCCTAACAGCCCTCCCTCATTCCAAATGCAGAAAAGAAACTGCAAACTTATTTCCTGAGATCCGAGATCTTGTTCCCGGGCATTGCCGTCAGTGTGGCTCAAATAAACTTTAAAAAAAAGATTGTATCGATTGATTTGAGAGAGAGAGAGAAACATGGACTCGTTGCTGCACTTACTGATGCGTCCGTTGGTTGATCCTTGTGTGTGCCCTGGCTGGGATCCAACCTGCAACCTTGGTGCATCGGGACGACGCTCTGACCCACGGAGCCACTTGGAGTCTGGCCGCCGGAGCCGTCAAATCAGCGTCAGCTGGCGGCTCAGATCCAATGACCTGATCTCGGCCGCCTTTCCGGCTTGTTAAGCTGAATTTTGCAATTTTGCTAAAATTAACAGCCTCCAGCTGGACAGACAGGAGGAAACTGCCTGGGGTCGGGGGCAGCTGGGTACTGCCCCTCACTGCCCTGGCCTCGTGCTGAGGCCCGTCAGGGACCCACAGACGTATCTCCACTCGTGGGACAGGAGTTTTCACCCCAGCGGGAAACCCCCAGGTCTTAGGACCCGACCCAGGGATCTGTGGGACTGACAGGCCTCTCCGACAGGTGCCCCTGCTGTGCAGGGGCTCAGGTGGCTCAGCTCCTGAGCTCAGACTCACCTGCTGCCCCCCCCCCCGCTTCTGCTCCTGCTCCCCTACCAGAGGCCCCACAGCGGTGGGCGGGGGCCCAGGCATGGGCATGAGTGCCCTTCACACACGGAACACCCCGCACACCCCTCCCTCGCGCCCACCCTGCGGGTCAAGGCTGCTAACAGTTTTCTTTTGGACACAGCGCCCAGGTGCTCACAGAGGTCCAGCCCCGTGGGTGACTCCTCAGAGGAGCATCTCACTCACAGAGTGACCACTCCGACTTGCAGAGATTGAGGGTTTTTCCGTGTGAAGGTTGCTAATCTGCTGATGTCATCTGGGCCACGGAACTCCAACCGTCGTGGTCAGAGGCGGAGTTTGGAGGCGTGGCCGGGTGCATTTCTCTACCCATCCGTGAATTTGCCGTGTCTCTATATGAACACACCGGAGATATTTATGTGAAAAAAGCCGTCTTGCCCATGAAGAAGTGTGGCCGTGCCCGGCCGGGCGTGGCTCAGTGGTTAAAGCGTCGACCTAGGATCCAGGCGATCAGGGTTCGATTCCCGGTCAGGGCACATGCCCGGGTTGTGGGCTGCAGCCAATCAATGACTCTCTCATCATTGA